AAATATTTAAAATTATTATAAATAATTTTAATTATTAAATAAAATTGCAGGCAAATTTGCCTGCAAAATGCTTGAAGGAATATATGGACGGACCTACAGAAGACCCTAAAAACTTCATATATAAGTTACTGGTAAAATAGATAAAGCTATTATAAAAAATTCAAAAATGTTACTTGTTAAGTTAGGTAATATTATTATAAAAAATTTTTTAGTTGATTGTTAAATTGGGTAAGGTAAAATTATTATTATATAAAATAGGTAACAATCCTATGATTATTTTTGAAGTTATTACTATAATGGGTAATGATCATATATATTTTTTAAGGGGTATAATATATAAATATCATAAAAATCAAAAAAAAACTATTATAAAAAAAATTTTCTATTCAAAAATGCAAGCCAAAAATTCAAAAAAACTTCTTTCTATAAAATTTTTTCTACCTGATGATAATGAATATGATTCTGATAAAACTCTTGATTTACTTGAATATAATTTAGTTAAAATTTTAGATAAGTATAATAGAGCAATAACAGATGATAAAAAAATGAAAGTAGATGATATTATATTAGATAATGATAATGATATAAATTATGACGATATAGATAATTTATCAAAAAGAAAGAGAAAACGTAGAAAGAAAATTTTTTTACAAAAAGATATAAATGAGTTACAAAATAAATTACATGCAAATAAATATTTTATGAAAGAAATAACACTAAAATTAGTTCGTTGTAAATGTGATAAAGAAATTCAGTTAGATCGAGATTTTAAAGATAAAAATCTTACAACGTATGATGAATTAAACAATTGTAAATATAGTGTAGAAGGATAACAAAATATTAAAGTTTTTTTTAAACCTAAAAAAATTGGGAATGAAGAGAAAAATATAATTATTAAAAAAGTTGCATATAAAGGATTATATGAAGACAAATATCAAGAATATATACTTAATAGTCCTGTTGAATTTGGAGGATCAATTAGACCTGATATAACTGTAAAAGAATTATTTTCTGAAACTATTAAGAAGAAACTTAGGTTAAAAAGTCTTAGTATATCAGAACATGATGATCTCAAAAATTATTTATATGCGCATGCTATGTGAATATTGGATAAAACTATCATATCAGTTAGAAGCAAATTGTGTGAAAATTTTACAACTAGAGAATTAGATATTTGTGATAAATGTGATGAATTAAGAAAAAATAGCTGTTTAAGTCAAGTAATTAACTATATTGTACAATATTTATAAAAACTGAACTATCTAAGTTTTTGAACTTATAGCGAAAGGCAACTGGAAAAAATATTTGCTATATTCCAAAATGCTATCTTGAACATCTTTTAAATAAATTACTTATTAATTCAAATCTTAAATTATTATGGGTATCAACTGATGATAATGATAATAATGCAGCAATTTAGATTAAATTAACTTAATTTGAAAAAGATAGATTTTTTAATGGAAAAAAAATATTTCAAGAATTAGCATCATTAATGATATAAATACAGAAAAAAAAATTAAAGAACAAAAAAATAATAGGTCTTCGTTATTCTGAACACCTAAAATAATTTTTTAGTTTACTATCAGAGAGTAGCTGTGAATATAGAATTTTTAAATAAATGTTTACAGAAATGAACATTTGATCAATAAGATATTTGCAAGCAAAAAAAGTTGACGTTGTAACTAATCCAAAATTAGTATATGAAAATATACTTAAATTTTCTTGGTTAATTAAAGTACTTAATTAGAATAGACCTATTATTAGAATGACAAATTGTACAAAAATTTGACCTAAACTTACTTATTCAATGAATTAGATGGTATTATTGAATTAATCTTAAAATTATCAAAACTTCAGTTAAAATATATGATGAGATCCATAATATTATAAATAATATAAAACAAAAAAAAGCTATTGCAACATAAGTTAGAGTAGTAATATTAAAGGTATGAATTAGGTATAATTTTAAATATTAATTAATTAAGAATATATTTATATTTTAAATATATTTTTTTTAGATTCCCATTGAAAAAATTTCACCTCTTGTAATTTCTATGCTACCAACAAATGGATAATATAATGCTATAGAGATTTATGATCTTTTAATGAATATAGTAACTATATCATAAGATGCTAGTATTAATTTAGTTAGTTTGGGATCAGATGGTATTCCTGTTGAATATAATGCATAACAATTAATAATGAAAAGTGAAAAGGCCAAAACTTTTTTTTTTTTTTTTTTTTATGATGTGGCACTGCTAGTAACTTTATTAAATTTATATATAAGGAAATATAAAGTAAATCGAAAATAAATCTATGCTAAGTACTAGCTATCCCCGTAGTTATATTACAAACCCGTTTGAATCAACCTATCATCGTCTTTCCCCTCCATCAACTCCACTAAGTGCATACTTAATGAAAATTGACATCAGCAAGGAAAGATAAAGAAGACGTCAGTGCCTATCTAAAAATCCAAGAATGTGTAGCCAAATTTGTTCGCAAGGTGTATCCAAGTCTCCCAGTTAAAAGAAGGGCTTGATGTCTGTCTGTGAAGTAGGGTGAACTGGCACTTCATTTACGCTTGTCTTGTTTAGTAATGTCTATTAAATGCTCTTTAGCAATTAATAAGTTGCAATGGTATTTCCAGACGTCATCGTATAGCTTTTGATAGAAGAGAAGAAGTGAGCGTGAAATGATAGAGAGGCATCGCTCTTTATTGCCAGCTATTTTGTGAACAATATTAATTAGGGAAGACGAAATTCTGGATTAAATGATGTCTGTGTAGCTATTAGAAGCATTTGAAGGTGATGCGAAAGTGTTGTTAAGTACATCCTCTAGTTCAGTTTGGTGCGCTGTATATCTGGCTCTGTATGAAGAACTTAGCTGGTCAATAAGATCATTTTTGGTAGCTGAGATCATGTCTATAATTTTCGAAGAGTACAATGGACATGTTCAAATATGGAAAGCAGTTTCAGTAGCAACGTTGCAACCTACACACAGTCAGTATTCATATAAATCAGGTTGTAATAATGTAAGACGTGACAGTGAAAGAAGTTCGTCGATTAAGTTTTTAATTATGAATGATTTGAGCTTACATGAAATAAAAAATGTGAAGAGGGAAGAGGTGTTCATCGAAAAAAGGTTCTAGATGGCAAACCAATTGATAGATTTATTGACTGTAAGTACTTTGAGTTTATCATTTCTGTTCAAATCCAGGAAGTTGCCAAAAGCTTATGCGGCAAAGAGTTACTTGAGAAAACCTCTTATTGAGACCTCAATAGGAATATTGTTAAAGCAAAATGAGAGATCTGATAAAAGGACATTATTAAGTAGTAAGGATAGAGGGGTGTATTGCATCCTTCTTTAGCTAATCTGTTCGCTATTTTGTTGTAATAATTTCCAGCGTGAGCTTTGATTTTGTGAAGTGAAATTTGGAGGTTGAGGTGATCAGTGATGTATCAGATAATATTCCAGATCGTATAATTGGGAACTTTTTTGAGCTTTCTCAGAGAAAGATGGTTGGAGAGTACATATTTGTTAAAACCATGAATTGTTACCTGACTATCTAAGTAGACGTCCACCACTGCGTTGTTTGGGAATACTATGAGGCAGTGAGAAGAGCATACATTTCAGCTCGCGTGGAAGAGAGCCAATTTGTGAGTGAGGCTTTGAAGGTAAATAGACCGTTGTCTGGGTGTAAGCAAATCCAACTGAATTCTATTTTGCAGTTGTCTGTCTGAGGTCCTATTAAGGAGCCATCTGTGTAAAATGTTAAGGCTGTTGCATTGATGAAGGAGGATTGCAATTGTTTGAGCTTGATTGAGTGCATCGACGATTAAATAAGAAGATCAATGATGTTATCAGTGAGCAGAATTATTGTTTGATTAATCTATGTATGTGATCTTCTAAAACAATGTTATCTAATCTATAGAAAAAATCAGATGAACCAAATCTTTTTAACTGGTGGTTAAAATTCCTGAGAAGGAAATCAGAAGTAGTAATTAAATGACGACCTGAGGAAGAGATTAGTTGATCTAAAAAATATAAGTTATGGTTAGTGAGAATCTTGTTATATCATTTTAGTAGACTACTAGGAAGGATTTTTGTGATGGGTTGGGTGCCTCCAGTAATTTGGTTCATGAGAAGAGGGAAAACATTAAGAGAAAGTTTTGAGGATGAAGAATTAATAAGGGAAAGGGAGGCACCAATTAAGTTTCTATGTGAATTTTTGTTGAAAGAATGTGACTAATAATTTAGGGGGGATGTAATAAGAACATTGTTTGACTGTAATTGGTAAAGTTGAATTAAAGAGATGTTCTTATAAAGGGATAAGTTATTAAATTAGTAAATAAGAGCGGTTGAAAGGGATTTGATTTGCAGTGACCAGAGGTCGCTTAAGTTATAGAATTATTTGAAGTTCAAAAGAATGTTGGGAAGGGTCAGGGCGAATTTATTTTTATGTTTGAAAAGTGAACGTATGGGAGCGAAAATTTTCTGACATTCATTTTTTGAAAGGGGTGTCAGCTGCATATGATATTTTAGCAAGGGACACAAAACTATATTAATAATATATGATAGTTGTTTGTCCGTTAATGGTTTGTATTTCATAGAGGTGACGAAACGGTTCATATCAAACGCGAGCTACTTCTTGACGAATGATTGAGCTCTCTGACCGTTAATCTACATACCTAGGAACTGTACTGACCCTTCTTCAGGGATAATACCAATAGTGGTTGAGCCAAATTTGATAGGAACAGGGAGGACATCAACATGGCAGGTCGTCAAAAGTTTCGATTTGTCTTTGTTGAGTGCAGATCTGGTGAAACTATAAAATTCATCTGCAACGTGTAAAATTTCTTCTAGATCTTGTTTGGAACTAGCCATCCAGTTTGTATCGTCCATGAATGCAAGTGATGAAACGGAGGCTGATATAGTGCTGGTATTCATGGAGGTGATGTCGGAAATCCAAGTATGATTAATTGTATATCCTTTATTTAAGGAGCCTACTTCGTAGAGTAAGGGATTCAGATAGATACACCACACTAAAGGGGAAATAATTTCTCCTTGATCAATACCTATCTTGATATCGTATAAATCAGTGGTTCCCTATGCGGTAAATACAGTGTTTCTTCTTGAGGTAAAGAGGTTTATGATAAGTTCAGTAGCTAACTTAGGGACTTTGATTCTGTCTAGGACGAGATGAAGGTAAGATAAGTCTACACGATCATAAGCCTTAGAAAGGTCTTGCAGTAGAATCCAACTTTCTTTATTATGCTCGATAGCATCCTCTAATAGCATATTGATAATTTTTATAGGTGGTTCCATTGATCCTCCTGGCAATCCAGCGAAGTTTCCTCCCTTGAGGATGTTGTGGTTAGCTAATATTCGGGAGAGTCTATTGGTGATAATCTTAACAAGATCTTTGCGTGCAGTTTTGAGTAGTGTAATGGGTCTGGTTTTAGTTATGTCACATTCCCATTCTATGGGTTTGGGAATAGGATATATGTGTGCGATTTTCCATTTGTTGGGAATGTCACCTATTATGAAACACATGCAGATTAATTTCTAAAGAAGTTGCTGAAGCTTGTCTCTAAGGTGAGCAATCATTTCATTGATGATGCCAGAGGGATCAGCTGCTTTATTATTGGGAAGTGTTCTAAGAACAGCAAGCCATTCATCATATATGGGAGGTTGTATGAGATTGGAATAGTGTTGATCATTAACGTAGTCCTTAGGTTTATATTGCTCAGACCATCTGGGAGGCATAGAGTATATAGGGGTTGAGGGAACGGCGAAGTTTTAGAAATGATCAATTGTAGCTCTCTTGATTTTCTCTGGTTCAATGGTGAAACATTTATCACCTGAGTCCTTGTCCGTAATAAGTAGTTGATCGAGCACTATAGATCGTTTCTTCCGATTCAAGATAGAGGCAATCATTTTGGAGGGGTCATCTTGCAGGTTGTCACATTGCTTGTCTATAAAGGACTTGATAGCTGATTCTTTTAATTTTTGTATTTCGATCTTAGCTAATGCTGTTAAAAATTTGTGAAGATCCTTAATTTTTAATTTGACATCATTGATATTATCGATTTGCAAAGATGGA